AAAAAAAAATAGCTTTAACACGCAGCAATGAGAAAGAAAACAGCGCAACAACAACAGAAGAAGAAGAAGAAGAAACAGGGTTCACCCCACATTACAAACCCTTCCAAGACCTAAATATTTCCTCATCGGAACTAAAAGAATCCTTAACAGACAAATAACAATGGGTAATACAAATAAACAAGGGCACACTGCATCATTTCAGTTCATGACCCAAATTGGCACCAATTTATCTTTGACCGTACCAACTCCATTACAATTGGATGATCAAAACTGCAAAACTACCTCATTTAATTGCAAGCAAGGAAATAAATAGCTCGCTAAAGTTGCCCCTATTTGATAAATAGCTTTTTTTGGCAGCGTGCCGCTATTTGTATTCATGTGAAATTTAGCCGCTAAATCCCGCTAAATCTCCGCTATAGCTACATTGCCATAAGCGTTTTAGCCCGCTATTTAAAACTTTGATTGCAAGGCTCCAAGAACTGATATTTTTTTTTTTTTGGCGGCTAATCATAGATTGAATCAACAGGAGAAAAGAAAAACAAAGCTAGACTACATACAGAATGAACTCATTTTTTCAATATATCAAATGCCTAAAAATTGAATGCTGGTTCTTGAACTATAACAATACATGCGTACCTCGCATAGCACTGATATGACGAGAGAAGGGGTTTTAGCGCTGGGGTGGGGTTTAAGGCCTGTGAAGATTATGGGCTCAACCTTTTATTGGACTATAACTTCTAAATTTACTTGGGCACACACCTTATTGGACTAACCTTATTGGCCTTTGAATGTTATGGGCTACCATTTTTTTCTGTTTCAATTTAAGATATGAATACAGAGAAAATTACATCATTTCTCATTTAAAATAAATAGAACTGTTCCGTCGTAAAATCTCACCACAGTCGAGCTCCAACTCAACTCATCAATGGCGGGCATAAACTCCGCCAGCAAAAGCTCCAGATTCTCCTCTTCCCAGTCCTACAGCCACGCTACCTGCACCCGCACCCACCAGATCGCCGCCCTTGCACTGGTTTCTGTCACTTTCTTTCTCACCAGGCTCTCCGACCGCTCCCTCGGCCCCTGCCCCTCATCCCACAGCGATTCATTTTCCGATTCGGGCCGAACCAGCCCTCCGGGCGACGTCTTTCGCTTCGGGCTGTATGGGAGCCACCTGAATTTGAAGATCTACGTGTACGATGAGGACGAGATCGAGGGTCTGAAGCTGCTGATGTACGGGCGCGAGAGGAAGATATCGGCCGACGCTTGCGTAAAAGGCCAGTGGGGCACTCAGGTAGCTCTTTTTCTTTATCTGATTTGAATGGCTGTGTTTGGGAAGTGGAAAAATGTTCTTTTGTTTGGATGTGTGTTTTTGTTTGATGTGAACTTATAAGGACCGTGGGTACTTGTAATGGGAATATGATATTGTCATTGTTTAAACATGACGATAAAGACGCTAAAAAGATCGGAAATTGATAAATATAACAGGTTTAAATTAGAGGACAACAACTGGGAAATATCTGACATAGTGCAAGGAAATTAGTGCATATGCACTCAGCTGTTTGTGTAGAAGAGTTCAATGCTGTCCTATTTGTGGAAGAACGTGAAAGAAGGAAAAAAAGAACGAGGCGATTGAGTGATCACCAAGTATAAATGGTGGCATGCAATGGGATTTCAGATTAGTTGGGTCTTTTGCTAAAATAGAAACTTAAGGGGATACCGAGTATAGAAGATGACGGGTTGATTCGATACGATGCATAATTACTTAAATGTGAAGACTTGCTTGTGTAGGTACTGTTGCACCAAAATGTGGATTTATCTATTAGAGGTTATTTGGTGGACTGCGAGGAGATATTTAATTGAGCTTAGATAGCATGAAATAAGAGAGGAATCATCATATCATATGGTATGCCATATGTTTAAAATTGTAGATACCGGCATTACTTTATATAGGCGACTTTGTTTTGTTTTCGCTTTTTTTTTTTGGTCTCATAAAACATGTAGGTGACTCGCTCGTCAACTGGGATTGTCATCGACTATCCACTGAACAATTAGTATGTGAGCTTTATAAGTTTAAAGGTTTTTCATGCTCAGTGTAGCTTTAGGCAATGACTACTGACAACTTTTTGTTTCGGGGTTGGGGAAACAGGGGCTGGTAAGATTTTTTTGCCAAAAAAATGTATAGGGCTGCACTTGTTGTTTTTGTTTTTGAGACGATGTTTTATTAATATTCATGGAACTTTTGATAAAGAAAATATTGAGAATGGCTTAAAAAGTTTACATGGTAACTTTAAAAATGATTGCATCATATTTTGAGAGATTGTTTGAGTTATGAATGCTAAACTAAAAATGGAAGTTTAGATTTTATATGACCGAGTTTGGTAGTCATTTAGTTATTGTAAGGTTCATTATTGAGATACAGTCACTATCTTTATATGTTTGTTATCATGCCCTAAGTCAAGCTTGAGATTCATTATGCATTTTCTTGTTTTTTTTAATGAGTTTATTTATCAATAATTGACTTAGAATTTGTATTTATGGTGTGGATGAATG